CGCCGCCTCCTTCGGCGGAGCTCCCGCGCCGCCCCGACGGCCGCCGGGCACCTGCCCCCGCCACCGACGCCGCTCCGTCTCTCCCGGCGAGCCTCCCCCGGTCCCGCTCCGGCCCCCCCCCAGGGTCGCAGCTGGGTGTCCCCGCCCGCCGTAACAGGTGCGGGACCGGCCCCGGCTTTCCGCCCCCGGCACCCCCTCCGCCGCAGGCGGGCATCGTCCCCCCGCTCCCCGCGGGGGCCCTTCGTGAAGGGTCGCGACCATCCCCCGGTCGGACCGGGCACACCGGGGAGGAACAATGCCGCCCGCCGGCGCGCAGCCCGCGGTGGGACCGTGGCGGCCGCCCTCCGCGGGGTAGAGGGAGCTGGAAGTTAGGAGGTGCAGAGGTGGGGGCACAGATACATATGTCGTACGGGTGTGTATCGATGGACGCACGCAGCCGTGTTTGTATGTGCGTGTGGACGCACATAGCCGTTTACATATGTATGTATGCGCATGGGAGCACGTATCCGTTTACATACATAGGTATGTGTATGGAAGCACATATACGTTTGCATATATACGTATAGACACACACACGCACATATATATATTTACGTGTGCGTGTGGGGATGGACACAGGTGTGCGCGCACGCCGCTGCCCGCACACGCCGGCAGGCACCACCGCCCGTTCCCACCTCCGCAAGCGACACCATGAACACAAGCCGCTCCGGCAGAGGCAGCTCCCTCCCGTCCCGACCCCGCAGGCTCCTCTCCCACCCCGGCAGCCGCCGCCAACCCCTTTCCCGCGGTGGGGAAAAGCCGGTTTCCCGTTACCTCCGTTGCTCAGCCTCTCCTGCGCGGTGACGGTCTCATAACCCCGGCGCAACTCTCCGTGCGAGGGCGCCGCGTGTTTTTTTTTCCCGAGGTTGCGCGGCGCCGGGTTCCCCCGTTATATAGCGGGACCGAGGATGCGCGGCGGGGGGCCGGCACCGGGACCTGGGTACCGCGGCGATCGCCGCCGCCCAACGCGCCTGCGCCCCGCCCCGCGCCCC